TTGTATTAAAAATGATCTTAATTTACTAGAACTAAATGAAAATATGACACTAAATAGGACGCAATGGAGAAAAATGATTCATGTAGCCGCCCCACGTAGTGAGATTAAGGCTTTGTTGTTGTTGTTGTTGTTGTTGTTGTAGGTTTCTTTAGGTAATCCTTTCTTCAAAGCTATTGATGTACCACGGTTGATCAAATACGTTTCACTGTTCACTGCTTCTGCCCAGAACTCCATGGCAAGCTTGCATGGAACCTCATACTTCTGGTATACTCCATAAGTTTTTGTTCATGCACTCGACCACTCTATTCTGTTGTGGGTTTTTTGGAGTAGTGAACTCATCCCTAATCCCTTCTGAAGTGTGGTAATTCCTAAACCTCTCAGCACGATACTCGACCATAATATCTAATCTAAGACACTTTAGCTTCAGCCTATCTCATTTTCTAACATAACCTTCCACTTCTTAAACACTTCCCATACATCAGATTCTTACATTAAGTAAACTCATATCTTTCTAGTGTGACCGTGAATAAACGTGACAAAGTGATGAGAATTTCCAATGGACTGAACTAACGTAGGACTCTATATATCAGTATGCACTAACTTAAGTCTCTTTGACTTCTCCTTTGACCCACCTTTGGAAAAGAAACTTTCTTCTATTTATAATACACACAATCTTCAAAAAAATCTAAATTTTCATATTTCAAATCCTGAAGTTTATTTTGTGATGGTAGAAACTTCATACATTTCACATTTATATGGCCAAGCCTGTGATGCTATGATCTGCATTTATCTTGGTTCCAACCACATCAATGAAATCTGTCATTTCATTGATCATGTAAAGAGTGTTTTTAATGATGTCCCGATTCTTCATCATTGCCCCAGACGACCTTTCACTAGTCACTTTATGAAAGTGTATCTGGACTTTGCCAGCTGACTCACACGAATCATATTCTTTTCAGACTTCGAACATTTTTAACATCACTGAACTTTCAGACTGTTCCATTTGACAACTTGATATTCAATTCACCCTTTCCCATGATAATGTAGGTCTTGTTATCTCCCAAATAAACTTTCCTTAGATAACTTCGAGTGTAATTTTTAAATATCTCGTTGGTGGGGCATGCATGAAAAGAGGCTCTTGAATCTACTATCCAAGATGCAATACTGACTAGGGATAAAAATGGAGTTACCTTGAATTTTACCGGTGGAGATATTTGCATAGAGATTTATTTCTTATCCTCTGCCACCAACAATCCTTGAAGCTTTATTGTCCTCTGGAAATGGCCTTTTCTTCCTGCAATCCTATCATTCTCCTCTACGATTTCTTTGCTTGACTTGGACTTTTTTTGTCTAAACTTGAATCTGCGTGTATTTTTGTCCAAATTTCTTCCCCTATTTTCAACATTCATTGCGGAAATTGAAGATTCACAATTTCATACTTTTTTTTGTGAATTTCTTTATTCAACACCAACCCCATGATGTCATCAAAGTTCAGCTTCATATTCCTTGAAGAGTTACTATCGCGACCAATCCATCTCAGTTGTCTATCAATAAAGACAGAATTAACAGTGCCCTGACTTCATCATCAAATTTGATACCCATAGAGCACAACTAGCTAGTCATAATATTGAAATTATTCATCAGTTTAGCCATTGAATTACCTTCTGCTATCTTCATATTGAATAGCCTCTTCATCAGAAAAATTTTAATTGAAGCAAAAATTTTCATATATCATTTTCAGTGCCATCATGAGATCCACCATGATTTTTTCATTTCTTATATTGAATGCAACATACAAGGAAAGTGATAAATGTATTAAACTTAGGGTAGTTTTATACAACACTTTCCATTACTCCATATTCATCATTCAAGCTTCTTGGTGAGTTCTTGTAGTGACAAATATAATTTTTTTCTGATATAACAAATCCTCTACTTGCATTCTCCAACATGCAAAGTTCGACCTCTTGAACTTCTGCATTTTGTATCTTATTTCGCCGGTCATTACTCCCACTCAAATCAAGCACCTTGCTCTGATACCACTTGTTGGGATGATGAATTACTTAGGGCTTCGATTGGTTCATAATCAAAACCACACCGTGGAAAATAGAAACACCAATTTGAGAAATTCATAATAAAAAAATAAATAGAAAACAACAAAGTAATCTAAGAAGAATACTAGAATTTAACGTGAAAAAATCTGAGAAAGAGAAAAAAATCACGGAGTCACAATACACTAAATTTCACTATGAATGGGAGAAATATACAAAGATGCTCACTCAAATCTTTTCTCTACAATGTTTGGAACTTACAAAACTTCGCTCTAAATCTTCCTCTTGGTCTCACAAGAGAAATCCTTCGCACCAAAATCACCATCCCAATAATTTCACTTTCACGAAAAAATTTTATGGGGAAACACCGCATGCGAGATTATAATATTTGCTGCTCGAATCGAAACTTTAGTACCGAATCCAAAACAAATTGTCTCGGCAGTGTAGATACGCCTAGAAGAGGGGTAATTATTTCATTTGCTCGGGAAGACAACTTGGAAGTGAACCTATAGCGTGGTTACACCGCTGTTCAGCATAAGTACGCCATTTGACATAGCTATGCCCGAAGCTAGAGTGGCTATGTTAGGCTTGCTGTGCACGAGGACGTTACTGCCTGCATCTTTTCAGATGTGTGGGTGTTTCCAGGCTCCACGGCTCAACAAATTTCTTCCTCATATGATTTCTGTCCTGCAGTGTAAGCACTTCCATGCCCAACTTAAGCAGGGAACACTGACTCATAACTTGGTAACTTGGTCAAGTAGGGAGCCCATTTTTTTATAGTTAATGACTTGTGAATGAATCTGTTGAAGATGGGAGGCTTTTTAGGGACATTGAACTCAATATTTGATAATTTTGGAGGGTTCATTTTAATGTGTTTCTTGTTAATTGCAGGAGAATTTCAAAGTTTCAACGATTCAGAAGCAAGAAAAAAGGTTCTTGATATTGCTGGTCTTCTTGGCAGATCCGCTGGTTTGTACAATTTCTGAGCTAAGCTGTTATTTTGTATATTTAGGATGCTTTAGTCTATCACGTGTAAAATTCATGGTGATGAACATTGATTTATTTTGCTGATATTTTTTCATTTCATATGGAGTATTTTCTTGTGACCATGTGAGATGAGCTTCTGTTGCGCATGATTTATGTTGTTAACTGGATTGTATGTAGCAGCTGACAATATAGATATTGCATGGTATCTTTTTAACCTTAGCAGGTGTTGTACTGGCTGATTGTTCTGCCAGCTCGGAGACTACAGAATTACTAAAGCAGGGTATTGACCTTGGATGCTGCATTGTGCTGGCAAACAAAAAACCACTGACAAGTAAAATTGTAATATTTTGAGTACATTTCATATGAGAGAAGTGTCAAAATAGTCCCCTGACTCTTTGTAAGGGGTCATTTTAGTCCCAAAATCTATAAAGTGTCAATTTAGTACCTAGACTCTTCTATTATATGCCGAACCAGTTTCGACGGAGGAATGTTTCAGCCTCAATTTAAAGAGTCTCTGAACTAATTTGACATTTTTATATATTCTGAGACTAAAATGTCCCCATATAAACAATCAGGGCACTATTTTGACATTTAATTAACTTAATCTCTCTCTTTCTCTCTCACACATCAGAATAATACTTGATGATTTCACTTTACATAATAGTTGATTTTTTTTATTTATTTTTTTAACCACCTTGTGACAATGTGGATTGACTTCGCCACAGGAAGACTTTGAAAAGTTGATCTCTGATTTCCGCCATATCCGTTTTGAATCAACTGTAGGTGTCTCTATATTACTTTCTTTTTCTTTTTAATGTCCTATATTACTTATATGTAGCATGTACTCATATAAGTATGATGTTACTGTTATGTACAGTGTATGCATACTTCCAATTTGCTAACTTTTTAATGCTGCATTTATTTCATATATATATTTTTTGTATCTTTAATAGTTGTCAGAGCTCATTTGGTTTGCCTGCTATCGGCTTAGTTGATTTAGAAGTAGTTGTAAAAAAGCTGTTGTGAGCATATAATAATTGGAGCTGTTTGGATGCACTTGTGGTGAAGATGCTATATGGAAAGCAGAGAACTTTTTTTTTGTTTGTAAAAGTTGACGTGAAAAGTTGTCTTATAATCCAAATGACAAAAATACCATTATTTATTCTTTTTCTTTAACATTTCAAAAAATGTATGATATTTATAGAAACTATAACTAATTTAATTTCGTTAAAGAATAGGAACTTGATTCAATAATTATAATTTGTTTTCTGAAAACAAGAAGATTCCTTTCTTCATTTTGAGAGATAAGTCAGGCAACAACTCATAGTAATAGCTCACAGAATAGCTATATATATAATAGCACTGACATACGATGAATTCAACAAAAGCATTTTCAAAAGTAAAGAACGTTATACTTGTTTATTTAAAATTTTAGTAGATTGTCATCAAGCTCATCATTGATAAATCTACTAAATAAAATGAGGCCTAAAGGTATGGATTTAAGGGGGCATTTTTAACTTTTATCAACTCACTTTTAGAAAAAAGATTCATGTAGCCGACCCCACATAGTGGGATTAAGGCTTTGTTGTTGTCGTTGTTGTATCAACTTACTTTTAGAAAGTACATTGGGCAACTGTTTCAAAATACTTTCTCATCACTTTTTTGGATGGGTAACTCCACACATAGCAGGTGACAAGAAACCATCCAAACACATGTTTGTTTTTCAAAAGCGGTTTTTCATATAGAAAAATAGAAGGAATTCAAACGAGCAGCACTTAAAGATTGTCATTGAATTTAAAGGCTTCCTTTATCTATTTTCAAGGGAATTTCATGTAAGTGATTTGGAAAGCCCACTATTTTATTCTTATCATATTAGACGTTTGTTTATCAGCGTTTTAACAAGTTTAAATTGGAAGAAGCTTTCCGCCTTTTGCCTCTTTATTGTTGATGATTCCTTGTTTATAAAGCTTTTGCGCTATTAAAAGTCATGTACTGGTTTATATAACAAGTTGCCCTTTTCCAATGAAGCAATCTATTTGGCAATCTAAAATAGCAATGTAAGAACGCAAGTTCCTCTGGCTTTGTTGATCTGTTAAATTGAATCCAACTTCCATTAGAAGGAAATATCTGGTGTTCTTTATAGCTCTATGGGGTTCTATTTTGTCTGCATATCACTCTGTCACCTATTACTCTTGGACCAAAGTATGTTAACATATGTACTTCATTCATGGAGAGCACATAATTTTCTAAAACCAAATTTTTGTTGTCAAAGCTTAAATTTACTTTTTTGTTGCTAATTTTCATCAAATTGCTATATTTGGCTTTCTATGTGCTCGTGAATAAATATGATCAAATATAATTAGTAAATATGGCCATTGTAGGAATAAATTTCATTAATTTATTTTATATAATAAAATGCATCATTTTAATCTTCTTTTATCCATGTTATGATACATTTCCAAGCCTTTTTAGCACATTTTTTCTAGCGGGCAAAGCCATTAATTTACGTGGAGCAATTGAGTTTTTTTACTCCTAGCAGCACACTAGAAGCCCCGATAAGTTGTAACTCCATGATTGGCGTTGCTTCAAAAATCTACGTGAGTAATTGTTATCGTCTGGTTTATGGGTGGCCAATTATACAGCCTAATCTAACTTTTGTCAGAAGATTAACACATCCTGTTGTACTTCCTCTATTGAGTGTTTGTATAAATTATTTATTGAGCAACATTGGTTAGATATGAATAATGTAGAATTAGAGGTAGAATTAGAGATTAGAGCAGAATAATATTATTGAGCAGTAAAAGGGGTATAAATACATGATACAAGGGGTATAGAAAATGAAAGATATAATACCCAAATCTTTCCTAATAACACCCAAAAGATAAAAGAAAAAACATAATTTAGGAAATACAAATAAAAAGAAATAACAGAAAAGACAACAAAATAAATCAAAATAAATTCTAATAAAATAACTTCTAATACTCCCCCTCAAGTTGATGCGTGGATGTCAATAATGTTCAACTTGGATTTGAAGTCATCAGATAACGGTCAAGGAAGGTTCTTTGTGAGGATATCTGCGAGTTGACCACCGGACGAGACAAATGAACACAAATTTCCTCGGAATCGAGCTTCTCCTTGATGAAGGAACAGTCAATCTCTACATGTTTCTTATGATCATGTTGAACCAGATTATGAGCAATACTAATTGCAGCTTTATTATTACAAAATAACTGTAGAGGAGTAGAGACCAACATACGTAATTCGCGGAGTATGATACGTAACCTGAGTGCTTCACAGATTCCAAAGGACATGGAACGAAACCCGGCTTCTGCACTGCTTTGGACAACCACCTACTGTTTCTTGCTTTTTAAGGTGACAAGATTTTCTCACACGAATGAGCAATATCTCAAGGCAGATGGCCGATCATGACGGACCCGACCCAATCAGCGTCAGTATAAACTGCAATAGAATGAAAGGTGTGACCTGAGAACAACAAACCTAATCTCGGTGTGCCTTTTAAGTAGTGGAGGATCTAGTGGACAACTGTGTGATTGTGCTCGTAGGGGTCATGCATAAACTGACTTACAATACCTATTGTGTGGCAAATATCAAGGCGCGTATGGGCGAGTATCCCTACATGATGTTGGTAGTGTGCCTTGTTCATAGGAACAACATCGAGAACATCAACCAATTTCTCATCAGGGTCCATTGGAACTATCACTGGTTTGCAAAGTAGAACGCTAGTTTTTGTTAATAGGTCCATTACATATTTGCATTGGGAAAGGCAAATGCCTCAAGAGGACTGGGCAACTTTCATGCCTAAGAAGTATCAGAGAGACCCCAAATCCTTCATTTCAATAGATGCGGCGAGGATGCCTTCAAGATATTCCAATGCTGGTAGATCATTACGTGTGAGCACAATATCATCGACATAGACGATAATGATGACAATTTGGCCACTAGTGGAATACTGAAAGAAGAAAGTACTATCTGATTAGGCTTGTGAGAACCTATGACTCACTGACACCTGCATGAACTTGTCGAACCAGATCCGAGGGGATTGCTTTAGTTCGCAGAGAGTCTTTCACACTTAACATACTTGTCCCCTGGAAGAAGTAGAGTCAAAGCCTGTAGGTAGATACATGTACTCCTCTGTGAGATTGCCGTTAAGGAAAGCATTTTTGACTAGTTGGAGTAAGGGTCAATCCAAATTCACAGCATGGGATAATAGGACTTGAATGGTGTTCAATTTAGCAACCAGAGCAAACGCCTTTTCATAGTCAACTCCATAGGTTTGTGAGTAACCTTTGGCGACCAATTGTACTTTTTTGCGTTCAAAGGTTCCATTGGAGTTAAATTTGGCGCTGATGATTTACTGACAACCAATTCTTTCATTCCTTGAGAAAGATTAACAACATCCCACGTATAATTTTGCCGAAGAGCATTCATCTCATCCGTCATTGCACCTTTCCAGGAAGAGTACGCTAATGCCTCAATAGTTGATGGAAGATGATCCGTTAAGGAAGTATCAAATGCTTTGTGGGTTGGTGACAAGCTATGGAATGAGACATGTTTTGCCATGGAATAAAGAGAGCAAGTCTGATTGCGTATCTCAATAGTAGAACTCACCTCCCCATTCCGAGCAGGAGTAATCTCTGCATGTGTAGTGTCAGGGATGTTGGCCAGGGCGGGTTCCAAGTCTTGCAAATGGGTAGCGGGCTCAAGAGTAGGGGTATTGGGATGGGTCTCAACCGAGGGTTTGATGCGTCGAGTATACATACGAAGAGTAATTGGAGGTATTGGCCTGGTAGATAGTGGATCCGGCAAGACATATGGTTCCTCTAGAGCAGTGACTAGAGGAGTATGTGACATATCCAACGGAGTCGAGAAATGGGTAGTGTCCAAAAACTCTTGCTCCCCCTCACTTGAGATGTGTTAGGAAAGTAAGGAAAACTTTCAAAGAAGGAAACATCGACGCTCACACAGAGTTTATTTGTGAGAGGATCACGACACCAATAGTCTTTTTGAGCGGCAGAATATTTGAGGAGATAAACTTGATTGAACGGTGATCAAGTTTACTATGTGTTTGGGCAGTATTCCGAACAAAATCTGTGCACCCAAATATTTTGGGGTCTAAAGTGGAGAAGAATCTATTGGTAGGAAAACACGACCCCAAGGCTGCCAACGAGGTTCAAAATTTATGAATTTCTGTGGAGACTCTATTGATGAGATATGTGGCGGTAAGTACGACATCATTCCAAAATTGTTTCAGGAATTTGATTGAAACATAATGGTACGTTCAACTTCGAGAAGGTGTTGGTTTTTTCATTTGACTATCCCATTTTGTTGAGGAGTATCGGTACAAGAGTTGTGATGGAGAATGTTCTTACTAAAAAATCTTCTAATATAGATTTAAAAAATTCATAGCCATTGTCAATCCAAAGACGAATTGATGTTTTGAATTGGGTCAAAATGAGGGAATAAAATTTTTTAATTGTGACAACAACTTCAAATTTATCTTTTAAGATATAGACCCATGACATTCAAGTGTGGTCATTAATCAAGGTAATGAACCATTATTTGTTGGTGTAATTAGGCGTTTGAAGGGTACCCACAAGTCACTATGAATTAATGAAAAAGGAGCAGAAGGAATGTGTGTTTGGATATGATACTCGATGATGTTTAGCTAGCCAACATATCTCACATTTAAAATTAGATAAATTTTTACTCGTAAATATCGAAGGATACAATTGTTTTAAATATTGAAAATTGGGATTAC